AAAATTTTAACATTTTCTAATGGTGGTGTGCCTCGTGATTTTTTTCATGAAAAAAGTGTGCCTTTGCACAAAAAAGGTTGAAAAACACTGAGGTAAAGTATTCAATATTTCAATGTTCCATTTTAATGCCAATCACAATATTATTTGAGCTTACATAATAATGCCATCTTTCAACCTCTAATCCTTCCCTCTAGTTTTTGCTTTGGTTCTATTGTATTAAAAATATGTGTGCAAATATTCCCCTTATTTCTTATTTCTAACTCTATTCTGGCTTCTAATTAGGCCATCATTGCTGATACTAGTGTTAGATTGAAATCTTAGTTCTCCTTTGTTAAAAGCATAATTTATTTGTATATGACCTGTATATATTTAGACAATGATCAAGAAACAATACATTTAAACTGTAAAAGTCTTGGATGTGCATCTATATCATTTTTAAGATACTGATTTTCAAACTGCGTATTTATTTCATGCTAACAACTGTGAACAGGACACAGGTATGCTGCTTTTTTGTAGCTTATTATGTGCCCAACAAAAAACGTCAATTCCAAATACTGAATAATGGAAATTGCTCAAAATATCCTATGTTTGCATATTGTGTTTCATATTGACAACCTGTTTTGGGAGTTACCCTTTACCTGAAGCAAGAACTTCAGGTATTAATAGCTAAAGTTAAAGCTTTCCTTCAACTGATAAAGGGAGTAGAATGTGTATATCCTCTTCTCTTAAGAGCCAAGGTGGCGCAGTGGTTAAATGCAACACTGCAGGCTACTTCAGCTGACTACAGTTCTGCAGTTCGGCTGTTCAAATCTCACCGGGTTGACTCAGCCTTCCATCCTTCCGAGGTGGGCAAAATGAGGACCCAGATTGTTGTTGGAGGGCAATATGCTGACTCTGTAAACCGCTTAGAGAGGGCTAGAAAGCCCTATGAAGCGGTATATAAGTCTAACTGCTATTGCTATTATTAGCTTTGTGCATTTTCAATTATTAGACTATTGACTAACGATTGAGTTGTGTCTTGGTAAGCTGATCATGCTGGGTTCTAATCTGTTTTCCATTTAAGAAACCACTCTCATTTAGGTTTTGCAAAGGGAGAAACATAAGAGGAAATGAAAAGAAGGAGCAATGGGATATAGGTTATGAAGCAATAAATATTGATTTTGGTTGCAGATTGGCATTAAATAATTCAGAATCTTATTCAGAATCTAAATTTCATTTTAAATATTTATAGCATAGTTATGCTATTCTGTAGCCAGAAAGGCAGTTAGAATAGCAAGAAAGTTTCATCTTTAGAATCTAAAATATTGCTGTGCCTTTAGATGTGCATGTTAGTATGGGGTTCTTTATATGGTAAACAGAATGGGGAGTGATTTTCTATTTGTTACAGCTGTGGTTGTATATGCACCCAATTTTGTACAGCTAAGGTAATTTGGAGGCCCATATTATACTGGAGCAAAGCTTAATGAAAACAAAATGAGCATAAAGCTCATTTGGATCTTATTTGAAAATCCATCCCTTTTACATATACTTGGTGGCATAATTTTTCAGTACATCTTTTTCCCATGACATAAACCAGGGGTCAGCAAACTGCGGCTCTGGAGCAGCATGTGGCTCTTTCATCCCTCTGCTTCGTCTCCTTCACCGGCGCCACAATTTTGAGAGGAACTTCTGGTTGGTGGGGGGGAGAGAAGCACAGTGTGGCAGGAGAACTCTATGGCAAGGGGATGGTTTTACTGTTGTCTCCATAATTGATAGGGCTTTCAGTTTATGACAGGTAGAGGAAAAAGTACGCTGCGCTAGGAGGAGACTCTATGGTGGAGGAACTGAACTTCCAGTCAGTTCCAGAATTGAACAGGGGGGCTTCCGGTTAGGACCATTGTGGCTCACGATGTTTTCTTTTCTGTGGAAAACGACTCCAAATGGCTCTTTGAGTGTTTAAGTTTGCAAACCCGACATAAACAGATGAATTGTTTGCTTTACCCCAATATATATATATCAAAACATTATTTTATTTCTACATTGTGTATGAAACATTCATTTTTAAACGCTTAATTTTATGTTTTTGTTATCCACTAGGCCGAAAATTGAGAGGGAAGGCCTTTTACTTTGTTAATGGGAAGGTGTTTTGTGAAGAAGACTTTCTAGTAAGTATGCTGCTGTCTTTTCCATGATGCTGATCATGGTAAAAATTATTTTTTGTCAAAAGTGAGAGGATCCTTATTCAACATAAAATGATAGCACAAATGTTGCTTATGAACTAGGTTGTATGTCTTTCAGTAGTTACAGTAAAATTATAGACTGGATATATTTCATTGGAAGCTCTGTTTGCTTTTGATTTATTTTAAAAGTAATGTAAAAAATTAAAAAATCACTTATCATCAACTTCCTCTGATCAAGTGTCTCTAAAAATGAGAAGATTAAATGAAGCAATAGTAATGATAACTTATCTTTCATAAATGTGGTACTGTGACATTTATTGATAATTAACTTGTTTAGAGCTACAGGTGCATAAAAATAACATCTAAATTGTTGTTCATACGTTCCTATAAGAATACAAAATACTTAACAGAAACACCAAATGTAACATGCATTTTCTTTGTCTCAATAATACTTGTCATCAAATGGTCCTATGTGCTATGATGCAAACCATGTGATTTACATAGGGATTTCTGATATCAAGATGCAAATATGGAGGCGAGATTTGCATTGTCAAATCTTAAGAGTGTTTTATTAGTTTTTTTTTATCACTGGGTTTTGTACCAGATGCCTGTACATCTACTAAAATGTGTATTTGCTGAGAATTTACGTTTCTAGTTAACTTAGGTGATTCAACATTATTTATCCCAAATGTTTGGAAAAGAGACCAATAATGCTTATGTCCTGCTGAGATTTTAGCTGGAGATTTCACTTTCTTAGTTGCTACACTATATTAGCATTAAAGAAGCTTTTAAAAGCAAGTAAATGAGAACAGCTTTTAAGACTCAGGGCAATGGAGAGACTATGTGTTGGTGTGATTTCCTGTTAAAAAGTAAAAAAGGTCTTTATATTTAAACAATTCTGTTTTTTTTTTTTCAACTGCAGTATTCAGGCTTTCAGCAGTCAGCTGATCGATGCTACATATGTGGTCATTTGATCATGGATATGGTAAGGGATACTTTATAGAGAAAACCAATGGGGGGAGAACAGTGTAGAATAATGCACTAGCAATTCAGTGTTGCAATTTAGCCTTCAAGCTATATTTCTTTCAAGAAATAAAGTAAGCAGAAATAACTTCTAAATATATTTATGTAAGCAGCTAAGAGAAAATGCAATAAACTAGTAGTACAGGTAGTCCTCAATTTACAACCAGTTATTTAACAAGTGTTTGAAATTACAAGTTTCTTACCTAAATAAACATCACACTGGCCTCACATGATTGTGATCTGGTCCCTTGGCAACTAGTTCATACTTACAATTGGTTTTCAAACAGCCTGTGAACAGAATTGCCATTCCCACTCTTCCATCTTCTATCTTCTCAAGAAAATCATCGTGGAAGGCAGCAGAAAAGATTGCAAATTGCTGCTGCTTGCCAAAGAGACTCTCATCTCAGGGGGGCTGGCTGAGAATTGCCTGCTGAGGGAAGCTGAACTCCTTCAATGGAATGGAGAAACAGAACTCAGATCCTAAAGATCTTGAAGATATCAGATATTCCTCCATCCCACAAGACAATGTCAGTTTTTGCCCAGGCATTGAAGGAAATGTTTTGGTCACCACCAAACATATTTCCTTCAATGCCTGGGTAAATACTGACTTTGTCTTATGGGGTGGGAAAATATCTGATATTTTCAGGATCTGAGCTCTTTTATTCCATTCTGCCAAATCCATACCCTTCTGCCAGGTGATAGAGGTGAGAGGGAGCTGAAATTGAAGCAAAGAATGGAAAGCAGGCTAAGATAGGGAGCATGGGATGGCTCAGGTGGCTAAGGAAAGCCATGCATGAGTGTCCATCTATAGGGCTGAAAAATTCTGCTTGGATTTGGACAGGAAGGATTTTCAGCTCCTGAGTAGAGCCTCCCAGGATTTCCTTAGCTCCTCCTGAGGCATCCTGCTCTCTTTAATCTGGGACTCTATCTACTAATGTGCAGAATCACATTAGCAGACAGATGACCGCAACCAGAGGATTGTGGTCATTGAGCAAAGCAGTGGGCTGAGAGAGTCACTGCTTTAAGATCACCTAGCCACTAGTAATCCTTAGCAGCCTAAAACTACTAATCAAAGTAACTTACAACAGGAAAAATTGCAAACAAGAAAAAGTTATTTTAAAGAAGAAGAGAGAGGTCCTTGCTCTGAGCTTGAGTTTAAAATACTTCTTGAATTTAAAATAAAGTAACTAAAGTACGGTAGTTAGTTCATTGATTTGGAGAACCTTTTTAACTCAAACAAAAATGTTCCTTCAACATACTGGTTTCTTGGCAAATGTTGATGTTTGTTTCTTGGTTCACCGACAAAACCGTGAAGCCCTTTTCCGCATCGACATAACCGCGGAGGGCAAATCCGCGCCGTCCGAAGCACTAAGGAAAAAGGCGACCCTAGCGCGCCGACATAACCGCAGAGGGCAAATCCGCGCCTTCCGAAACGCTCAGCAAAATGCTTTTATTAGCATTCAAAAGCTAACCCTAACCCTAAACCTAACGCTAACCCTAAACCAACCCTAAACCTAACCCTAACCCTTACCTTAACTTAAATTGGCTTTCTGTCGCCGCGCTGTTGTAAAGTGCCCTTCTGTCGCCGCGGTGATGACGTCGCAGTTTTAGCGACGCGGTTTTCTCGGCGCGCTTTTGTCGTGCACGCTTTTGTCGGATCACGTGTTTCTTCATATCTTCTAATCCTCACAAGCAGCATCCAGTAAAGCAACATGGATGCAGAAAAGAATGGAGGCTTAAAGATATTGCATCATTTTGTATTTTTTTCTTGACACTCATTGATAGCATGATAATTATCTTAAAAATTAATTTGAATTGTTGATTTGAAATTATTCTTGGAAGTCATCCATGTATCATAAATTAAGATGCAGTAAAATAAAGAGTTATGTGAGATTCATAATTGGTTTACATGTTAACTCCAAGGAGGTTTCTTTTAGTGACTACTGTTTGCTGTGGTATGGTATACTGAGAATATTACCATATGATAAAACTCCAATTAAAGAGAGTTTTCACCAATCTAAATCCCAGTTGATTACCAAATACTAGACAATATTGCTCAGTTTTATGATGCAATCTGTTATTCACAAACTTCTAACATGAATACAATTCAGATTAACATTCATTCAATGTTTTGCATTTTTAGAAATGCATTTTAAAACTACATGCTTTTTAAAAAAAGAAGTGAATTTTGAATCTCTTATTGTAGATTTTGCAAGCATTGGGAAAGTCATACCATCCAGGCTGCTTCCGTTGTGTGATTTGTAATGAATGTCTTGATGGAGTGCCATTTACAATAGATAGTGAGAACAAAATCTACTGTGTCCGAGATTACCACAAGTAAGAAAAACATTAAATTTGAAAAATTTCAATCTATATAATTTGTGTCCAGGTAAGTAATAAAGCAGAGCTGTCAAACTTGCAGCCCGTGGGCCAGATGCATCAGGCGCTGGCCACAGCCATGCCTGGTTAGCGAAGGGCCCGATAAGTCATGTGATACTGCCATAACTATGCAAATTTGACACCCCTGTAATAAAGATTCAGAATATTATTGGTGTTTGATGAAAATGAGTGCATATAAAGTTTGTCAAAATAGAAGGATGTTCATTTTCATCATATTCTTTCTCTAGAAATAAGTCTGTACTTTTTTCATTACAAGTTCACTAGAAAAATGAACAAGCTCCCCTAAATATTTCACTTATTTTTACCACATTTAAATGACATGTTATTACATTACAATTATTTTCTTTTGCTACAACTACTTGAAATTCAGTATTAGAAGCAGTTTTAATTAAAAATAGCCAACAGAATTATCAAGCATTTTTATTATTTATTACATATCTTTGACTTATATTGTATTTCTGCCCTGAAAGTCTTGCATTTTAAAACATGGCACAAGAAAGATATTAGAACATGAGGAAATGTCAGAAATAAAAGAGTGTAAAATACAAATATAACTATTTATTGCAATTTCATACATGAAGAAATTATTTGAAGTAAAGGAAGCAGCATGAATACAAATAATACTTTATACTAATATAAGTAAGGGAGGGCCATGGATTGAACAGTAAAATATAACTTGTTTCTAATTTATAGCTGTGATGTAGCAGATACTCTGGTAAATTCAAAAACTTTGGCCTGGAAGACCTTTTTTTTTGCTATAACTATGAGTCATTATATCTCTGGAGATCAAGTTGACCCTGCTTCTAGTTATGTTAGTGCTCTGAGTTTTCAGAGAGACACTGATGGGAATCTACATTTAAATAATAGAAAAATGAAGAATTTTGCCCTATTTATTTCTATTGTTAAGACTGGAGTAATAAAACTGTGGCCCAGTAGACAAGGTTGAGCTTCAACATCCTTTAACCATAGCCAGAACAGGTAATGAGAATTACAACCATTATTTCCTGCTACCTTAAGTACGGTAGAATACCCACTTTCAACTCTACATTTGAGAATTAGTATAGAATTTAAATGTCATCAAAATACATGGGAAAAAAGAAACCAACGGAAGCTATTTAAAAACTGATTGAATCTTAGATTATCTTTCATCTTTAAAAATTGTTTTTATTTTTGTAAAGAGTTTTGGCACCAAAATGTGCAGCTTGTGGCCTTCCTGTTTTGCCAACTGAAGTAAGTAATAATATTTCTTTGTATTATACTTTTTTTCAGTGCTTTTAAATAAATCCATATCTTTTGTATAATAAAATTTCCTATGATGATTTCCCCCACCACCCCCAAGTTGAGAAAATTCCTCTTACTGTATTTTAAAATTTTGATAAATGAAAAGCTATTGTAAATTGGTGGACTTAAAAAATTGACTTAAAAAAATCATAACTAAGAATTGGTAAATCACCTTCAGCTTGTAATACGGTTGCCAAAAATTTGATAATGTTCAACTTTATACGTTCTCATAAGAGGCTGTATCTAGCTGCTTTTATCTTTTAAGAAACTGGAAAAAGATTTTATGTGATTTACAGGATGATAAATATAGGAAAATTGTTTTCATTTTTCTTTTTGAAGTTTTGAATTTGAGATTTTTTTAAAAATTCCCTCTTCATGAGATCCTACACATAATTTATCTTCTGGGAAATGGCAAGAGCTTCTTTCCTGTTTAGTTTTTTTTTCTTTTGACTTGATTTCAGAGTACCATGCTAAACTGTTTGATAATATTAAGACATGTTTTAGTGGTTGAGGTACAGTAAAAGACTCCTCTGTATTTGCATAAAGCTTCACATGAGATTAATACACCAAAAGTTACAATTGTAGTTATATTTTTTTAAGGCAAAATGAGTACCTTGTGAGATTTTGTAAAGTAGGATAAATGACAATTGGTGCCCTTTGGTTTTCTGAATAAGACTCATAAAAGGTTTTTAATAGTATACAGCAGCGGTGTCAAACTCAATTTCATTGAGGGCCACATCGGGGTTGCGTTTGACCTCGGGGCTGGGATGGGCATGGCCAGAGGGCATGGCCAGCATGAAATCACTTGTGTCAGGGGTGCTTGTGGTGGCCCAAGCTCTCTGCCTGCGAAAACAGGCTCCCAAGCTGTTTTCAGCTGCAATAGCCTCCTACAACCCCTCTGCCAGTGAAAATGTAGCTCCGGAGGGCCAAATGTGGCTCTCCCGAGCTCTCTTTTCGCTGGCAGAGGAATCAAGGGCCAGTCCTTTGCTGTTTCCAGGGCAGCTTTGTGATCTAAGCATCCCGTGGGCTGGTTCCAGCCCCAGGCCCTTGAGTTTGACATCCTTGGTATACAATTTTTTTTCATTAACATGAGTTAATTCCTAAATGCTCACTCAGCAGCTAATTAATATTTATAATCTGATATAAATGAAAGAGAACTTAGGTAGGTAACCCAGAATGCTTAAACGCTGTTCCTATTAAATGTTATCTCTTATTTAAACAATGTAATGAAGAATTAGCCATGATGTATATAGCACGTAAGTATACTGGTGCATATTTCACTTTTGCCAAAAGAATGTTTCATAAGAATTAGAATAATGTGATGTAAGCCTCTTTCAGTATGTCTCCTTTAAATAAATAAACTTTTACAGGGATCTGATGAGACTATCCGTGTGGTGTCAATGGACAAGGATTACCACATAGAGTGTTACCGCTGTGAGGTAGGTTCAGTGTTCTTGAACAAACACTAAATTAAACAAAGATAATGATTTGTAAGAATTGTACTGCAAGTGTTGAAAATCCAGCATGGGAAAGTAAATTTTGAATAGAGCACTCAAAGAGTGTCATTTTTGCTCAGCAACAAGCCTTGTTTAATGCATATAATAGTTTCGGTGCAGAGATTGGAAATGGGGCTACCTTGTTTCTTCTACTGCATTGACTCTGGAGTCCAATTTCAACCAAAAGGCTAACATTTTATGTTTAAATTAAATTATAAATCCTTGAGGGAGATGGACAGCCTAGAAATGCAAAGTTAAGGGTATAGATGTGATATATGGATGAGAGACAGAGGGAGAGAGGGAGGTATGCTATCCATAGTAAGCCAATCCATTGTTCATTGTGGGTTTTTTTTGGGTGAAAACTAGAAGTAAGCACTAGTTTTCAGCAAAAGAAATGTCAAATGGTGGTCACTGCTTTTAGCAATAAATGAAAGCTGATTACCAAGTATCCAAAATGTGTGTGTGTGTGTGTTTGACTATGAGGTAGTGGCTGTCAGACCTTTGGTAATTGGTCATAAACACATGTTGGGAACTGTTGTAATTTTGAATGGTCACTAAGTAACCCCTTGTAAGTCAAGGACTACCTGTAAGTGTTATTTTCTGGTTGAAAGTTTAAGGCTAGAAAATCAATTTAAGTCATCTTAGTTCTGCTGATGAAATTCTTCATTACTAATTGTTTCTTTTCCTCTCCTCTCCCCGTCCCTCAAATTTTAAAGCCTGAGTAATAGTATAACTCCGTGATGGTGAACCTATGGCATGCGTGCCACAGGTGGCACACGGAGCCATTTGTCCGGGTACGTGAGGCGTTGCCCTGTCAGCTGGCCAGTGCGCATGCGTGCGCTGGCAAGCTGACTTCAGCCTTCTTTTGAGACCATTTTTTGCACTTCAGAGGCTTCAGGAGCTTCCCTGAAGGCTCCGGAGGGCAAAAAATGACCCTACAGACAAACCGGACTTCCGGTTTGCTCATAGGCTAATTTTTTCCCTCCGAAGACTTCAGGGAAGCCTCTGGAAGGCCCCTAAAAGCTCTGGATGACGAAAAACGTCCCTACGGACAAACTGGAAGTCTGTCCCCGAACTTCTGGTTTACCCATAGGGCTAGTTTTTCATGCTCCGGAGGCTTCAGGGGGGCGGGGTAAACTGTTTTCACTCTCCCCAGGCTCCTACAAAGCCTCTGGAGCTTGGGGAGGGTGAAAAAAACACACCAAAAATGGGGGGAGCGCTGGAGTCATCGCATAGCATTATGGGTGTGGCACACCCACGCACGACCCCCTGCGCTCCCCCCACTTTTGGCATGCGTGCCACAAAAGGTTCACCATCACTGGTATAGGTCCTTGTGATATTTCCGAAGTCAAACCATTCTGGATATATTGAATTAACTATCACAAAGGGTTTTAATGAAATTTTTCAGAATAGAAATGCCTGGTGCTCAGATACTGCTATATATTGAACCTACTAGCTTGATAAGAAGAGTGTTGCTCCTCAATAGGAACTGCATGCTTTATATTAGAAAATGACATTAAGTATCAAGTAATTGTTCTACTGCAGGCAAATACCAATACTTTTAGGAAAATAGCATATTTTAATGATTTGCTTTTAACATGCATGGATTGACAGTTATTTTCGTGGAGCAACATGGAGCAATATGAATGTATTAATCACCACTCGTTTTCTTCTTTCAATAGGACTGTGGAATGGAACTCAATGATGAAAATGGTCATCGTTGCTACCCATTAGATGAACATTTGCTTTGTCATTCTTGCCATCTTAAGCATATAGAAAAAGGCACTAGCCCTGTCGCTTCCTATTGGCATCACTATTAGTCAGCTAATAGTGCTAATGTTTCCAGAATCCTGTCAAAGGGATCAGTAATTTTGGGGAGCAGTTGTATCCATATGGATCTTTTATATGCATAGGAGACTGACAGAATACATATGGTATTATCCAGGGTACATTGTAGTTTCTTTGCCCTTAGACTGAAAAAGTGGGAAAGGGATATTTAGGTCATTTAAGAAAAAAACATTAGACACTTTAACAATACATTAATGGGTTCTCTTAGTGAGCTTAGTGTCAGAAAGTTACATTTTTAGTGCAGGTTGCCTTCTGCCTCCACCTTTATAATTTGATCCTGATTTCTTAAATTGCAGATATTTTGAAAACAGTTGATCTAGTATTTTCCCTGTTTCATTTAGCCTTTCTACATAATGTCAAAAATGAGACATTATGTGTGAAATACTAGGTGATCAAAATAACCCAAGAGCACATATGGAGACAATTGATAGAGGTTTTTATAACTTTTAGAACTTTATTTGAGCACTTGAAACAATTTGAAACTGTATGAACTTTGAGAGAATTTTTTTAAGAGAAACACTGAAAGAGCGAGAATTATTTGTACTAAGGGAAGAAAAACTGGTATGTATTCCTTAAACTCTAGGGCCTTAAATCATGTTTAATATGTCTAATATTACATCTTCCTAATTCTTAGGCTAAACCTAAGAAGATAGATGTTAATTTAATTTTTTTGTCCCAGATGTTTATCATTTGATTATCCATATATTACTCAAATTTATTGTGTGCCAATAAACTAACTTCACATCATTTCTGGTTTGTATGTCCAATTTTAGAAATGGTCTTAGTCTTCATACATGAAGTTGAAACCATTGCAATATATCAAAATCTAGCAAACTGAGGTGGGCAAACCATGTGTTACTGCCATATACAAGATGATGGAGGTGACATAAAAAGAGGTTCATATGCACTTCATGGAGCAGAGGATCCAAGCAACATTTTAACAAGAATACTGAATCATAGTTATGAAGATTGTTCTTTTATGTATACAAATTAAATATCTCAGGTATACTTTAGGATCATTGTCTTGACAAGATAGATGGTTCATTGCTAAGGAGGCATATTAGTTGGTAACATTACTTTCCAATTTGTACAAGCGTAAGTTACCTGCTTTGTAATCAGAATTCTTTACAGAAGGTTTCTGCAAACCTAATTTGGTTGCTATCATTTCAAATTTTTTATAATTCAGCATACACGCGTCATTCAATATAAACAATTGCAACATTTTGGGACTGGTTCATTTATATAATGGAAAAAGAAGTAAACAAAGCAACAGCCATCAAAATATATTTTAACCCCAAAATTCTACATATGCAAGCAGAGAGAAGAAGTCTATTCATTGAGAAGTGTTTTACAAAATATTGCTCTCCCCTCTGTTAATACATCGTCTTATTTCCACTACAAGCTTGCATCAGTGTCTACAGTGCTTCAAAATTAGAATTAAAGTAGCAGGCTTGAAAATAAACAAAGATAAAACAAAGATCATGACAAAGAATATCCCAGCAACACAAAAGGAAGAGCTGTCAGAAATGTTGCAGATTCAAAACACAAGTAAGGTTAAATATTTGGGGATATATCTATCACCTAGATGTAGCACTCTTAAAGAGGATAACTATACCAGATTAAAACGACAAATAGCAATTCACTTGGAGAAATGGGAAAATTTGCATTTATCTTTGTTTTATCTTTGTTT